GCCCATAGCGGAGATTTAACTCCAAAAAAAAAAAAAAATGTTTAAGATAACCATCGTCATTATAATGTAAGAAAGAACAACTTATAGAATTTTTTAAAAAATTTTGCTAAAATTAAACAAACTTCTCTATTTTCAAAACATGCACACTGATCCAATTTAAAAATATTTTAACTATTACTTTTTCCCCTGACAAGAATTCAAGGTCATACTGTCAACCTAAACTACGCTCACATTCATCGTCATTCTTCATCAAATTATATCCAATTATACACAAAAATTAAAGTCTATAATCACAAAATAAATAAATTACAAAACGTCCCGAGTCGTGTCTCAATTATACAAATTTTTTTCTATCTTCAAAATATACAGTTTGGTTAAATTCTAAGTTTTTATATACAAATTTTTTTCTATCTTCAAAATATAGTTTGGTTAAATTCTAAGTTTTTAATTTAACTATAGGGTACTTTTCTGGAAAAGAATTAGTAGTCATACAATTAACCTAAATAGTAGGATGAAATTCAAATGCTAAGATGTTGAATGAAAACCAACATATCCGATTACCTTAACTTTCTTTTCCTTTGGCCCTGCTGAGGTGGCATAATTTCTTGAGGCCTGAAAAAGATAAGGTGGGGAGAAAAATTAAAAAACAAGCGGCTCATAACATAAAGTTCTGAAACACGATCAGCTGAACTGAGCCGAGTTTGCAGTAAACTCGTCAGCACAATTCAAGTTATATAGGAAGAATAATGCAGGTTCGGAGAAAAAAATGAAAGAAATAATCTTTAAAAGCCAACAAATTCAGAAACAGACAAAAAATGTTCAGCTTGTGTTACAGTATAAACTGAAGATTCTCCAGCAAACCCATTGATAAAACGGGACAGAAACAAAAATCATAAATCCTACCTCGTCCGAAAACTTTTAGTATCCATCAACTTAAGCAAAAGTAAATTTTAAATCCTTAGCAAAAGTTAGATGCACCCGAGGAATTCTTAACTCATAAGAAAATAAACATTGCCATACTACATCAATAAACCGTCGAAGCGAAATTGGGTGACCGAATTTGAAAATAAAGAAACCAATTTCGATAGTTTTAATTGTAATACCTGGGAATTTGCAGGCGCAATGAGGAATCGGGGAAGCGTGTATCTCTGGGTAGCGAGAGAATCAGAGGAGAAGTGCCCAACATTGTTGGAGAGGGCAATGCCCCGTCTGATTCGGCTATACAATGCCATTCAGAAAAGCTTTGATTTAATGTTATGAAAATTTTGCGTTTCCGGTGAAAACCCACCCAGCCGAAACAAAACGGTGATCGGAAAGCAAAAATGATGGTGACCATTATGGCTTGCTCCGAAGGTCAGACGGAATATGTCCAGCCCAAAAGATGTAAAACATTCCACAAAAAAAAAAAAAGAGGACAGAACGGAAATCATCAAAATCACTAACAATACACGGAGAATGACAAAGATCTCTTGAAAGAATTAATTAATTTAAGTTTTAAGTATTAAATTTTAAAAATTTTAAGTCAATTTTTTAATTTTATAATTTTATTATGATAAATATATAATTTTTATTTCAAGTTTTAATAGGAAAGATAATTTTTTATTTTTCAATCACATTAAAATTTAAAAAATAAGTTATAAATTTATTATAATACAGTTGCAAAATTAAGAAATAATTTGTAATTTTTGAAGATTGACACTTAAGACCTAACTTAAATTAATTGATTCTTTTAGAATCTCCCTATCATTTTTACAACAATATATCAACATAAAATAGAGTGCCATAATTTTACAGTTGTTAATTATTTATGCTGGCCAGCAAAATTATTAATTAATTATGAATGAATCATTCCTTCTCTTATTATAACATATGGACTTTATATATAATTACTGTAACTATATCAAAAAAATATAATTTAATAATAAAATAAATTTTTAAAAGTTAACACTTGAAACCTAACTTAAATTAATTAATTATTTTGGAGTCTCCCTGTTATTCTCGCAACAATATATCGATATAAAATAGAATGCTATAAGTTTATAGTTGTTAATTATTTATGCTGGCCAGCAAAATTATTAATTAATTATGAATGAATCATTCCTCCTCTTATTATAATATATGGACTTTATATCTAATTACTGTAACTATATAAAAAAATATAATTTAATAATAAAATAAATTTTCATTTTTGTTATATTAAAATAAGCTAAATTCACACCCCTGCGAATATTTAGAGATATACGCGCGAGCGCAACAGAATATGGTAGGAACGGACCCCAATTCCATAAAACAAGGCGATGAAGGCATCATTAGTATGTTTTGAGAATACTGATACCATAGAGAGGTCTACGTACAAAATGTGTGTATGCGCGCGCGCGTGTACGTGTGTAGCTATGAAATAACATTGGCACTAGATGGCCAAGGATTCATGGTTGAGAATCACAATCATGAGTGAGGATTGAGGAATCTGTGACCCAATGTTAATGCGTTTTACTCAATCTTTCCTGCATGTGACAAAATTAAAAGAAGCACGTCTAAGCACATGAGCACTAATGCATATGATTCTTTACATTAAAAAAATATAATATATTTTTAATTAAATCACACCTTCAATTAATTATCTTTCAACTAACATCAATTTTTTATATTTATTTTTATTTAATGAATATTTCACTTTAAAATAAATAAAAAGTGACTTATTTATTAAAAACATTTTTAATAAAAAATACATTAATTATATCTCATAATATTAAAAATACATTATATTTTTTAACATTTAAATCCTTAAAAAATATCAAACATTTTTTAATAGAAAAAGTATAACTATACAAGGAAACATGATTCGGCGAGAATAATATAACCTCCATAAAAAGTCATCATGTGACACCCCTTTTGAACGTCATTTTTAAGTTTTGATCATGTTTTTAAATAAGTGAATAAATGGTCATCAAGTCATGCATTAAACAATAATCAAGACAGTACGATTTTTGGTGAATATTAAATATTAAAAAGTAAGAATATGAAATAAAAAAAAATAAGGTCATGAATTGACAGAAAGATTAAAAAAAATAAGGATAAAAGGTGCAAACTTGATCATGTACTATTTTTTCAAGAATATTAGGTAGTTTAAACTATTAGGTAGTATAAAATAAATCATAAATTTTAAAAAATAGAGCATTCAATAACCCTCATTAACTTCAGTTGATGGATATTATGTGGAGCCCATAATAACAAATAGCACCCCACATCAACATGTATAAATGTGCAAGTTTAATTATGAATTATTTTTCGAGAAGTATTGGATAGCCTCTGGTATAAAAAAATTGACTATTCAATATTATCCCATCAATTTTAATCAAATATCATTAATTTTTAGATTTATGAACCTACAATGCGCCAATCTCTTCAATCTTTTTACCTTTCTTATCAGTCTAAGCTCAAAAAGAAGAGGTTCAAAGAGTTGTTATCCGAAGACATTCACAAAAATGTCGCTAACAAAATAGAAGAAATAATTTGTGATTACATTAAGCAAGAATCAAAATTCTCTCATGCATAGTAAAATCAAACTTTTATTTCACTAGGCATTAATATCGTCCTCGTAAATGTTTTTAAATAAGAATTTTTTGAATTACTTTTTTTCAAGCTGATACTGAAAATAAAAGTAAGAAGATAGAAAAAATTGATGTATTATGAATTTCATAAGTATGAAAATAAACAGTGTTTGATCAAAATTGATGAGATTGTATTAAATAGTCCTTTTTTGTAGAAGCTATCAAATACTTCTCGAAAAATAATTCATAGCTAAATTTGTATCTTACACATGCTGACGTGGAGTATCTGTAAAACATCACGTGTCATTACAAACCCCACATAACGTCTGGCAATTAAAGTTAACAACAAGCTAATGAATGCTTCATTTTTAAAAATTCATGATTGATTTCACACCACCTGATATTTAGTCTACCGGATGCTCATAAAAAAATTATACCAGATCAAATTTGCACCTTTACCCAAAAAAAAAAAAAATAATAATAATATTTATTAATATTAATATTAATATTTAAACGTTATAAACACTGGGTCATGACGTCGTGTGCTCCCAATTCCCATAACTGGTGGAAGCTTCCAGAACTTGATACATCGCATTGGTCAAACCTCTTCTTTATAGCTGCTAAACCTGGAAGTTGAAAGAAAGCTCAGAGAATTATGAGGTGCCTTCGTTGTCCGTCCTAGAGAGGGAGAGAGATCAGCCCAGACATCAGTGTTCCATTGGGATTGAAATATTGTTCCGAGTCTGCTTCTGTCAGCTTGTTTAGTCTGTGAGAAAATAAGTCTGTTCCGCCAATCACAAACAACGGAGCACATTCTGAGACACCCAACACTGCGTCCAGTCGCAGGAATATCTCCCGTCTTCTGCTTCCAGTTCATGCTAATTGCTATCCGCTACGTAAGCAGTAACCACACGTGATCTTTGTTTCTTATTCTATCCTTGCTCGTTAAATTACTCATCTCAATTAAATCTCTTCCTTTTTTTTTTCACTTTAACTGCGGATTTTGTTTAATTACACATCTATCAACATAATATAATTAACACTCCATCAATTCATCAATTCCGAACATAAACTTTGTGCTAGCATCTTATCTAATTATCTAAATTTTTACAGTACATTGCAGAAAACATATCTCAATGAAGAAATATTTCTTATCACTAAAAATATGAGTTTCTTTTGAAATATTGAAAAAAAAACAATTGAAAATCAAAATTAATACATCACTATCAATATCAATCAATATTTCATATAAAATATTATATCCCATTTCCCATCATCTCTATAATGCAAAGAAAAACATGTCTAAGTAGAAATCATTTCATAACACCAAATTACTAACCACTTCTAGGTTTACTCTGAGTAAGTGTGCGAGAAAGGGGGGGGGATTTAAAAGTAAATTAGCACTAGATGTAAGAGCAATGATAACTCGGAGATAGGCAGACATGCATATCCACAAAATATAATGCATCAAAAAATATCTATTTGTAAGTAATTCAATTTATCCATTTTTTATGGACCAAATCTACCTTAACATCCATCCGCAGTGCTGAATAACATAAAAACTCAAACTACATTATCGACTTAAACTTGGACTATATGGTTGATAGTAAACAGGGCACGTAACAGGACCGCTGAGTGCTTTCCTAGTCGACACCTACCTAAGTGTAACAAATTCCGAAAAAAAAAAACTCAAAAAGAAAAGATTTAAGAAAAATAATAAAGCAAAGAAAACTAAGATTTTCCCCAAGATTAGGCTAGTGCGTCGATTCCTCACCAAATACCTCAACATTGCAAACTGGGCATTTCTGGGGGAAAAAACACAACAATAATAATAATGAGAAAACAAATTAAATAGGTATAGCAATTCAAAAGAGGGATCTTTAGATGAACGTGCATTTGACTGACCTTGTTAATGCTAAGCCATTTAGTGATGCATTCACCATGGTAAACATGCCCGCATGGTAATTTTATTTGTCGGTCACCTCTTCTATACGACATCTGACAAATTACGCACCTGCTTTTTTGTGCAATTCGATCGTCAGAGAACATTTAACAATGTAATAGGAAAACAGATTTAACAAGATAAGGGAGAGGGGCTTGTAGATTTTGCTGGAAAGATGCATTGAACCAAAGGATTTATGTTCATCTCATATTCATTCAATAACACCAAGTGAACGAAAAATACCCAAATCAAGGTGCTATTACCTTTTCCCAAAATTTTTTCTTTTAAACAAGCTTCCAAATTTGTACTTTGAGGTCGGGAGCAAATCAATGAGTTCTTGAGAAAGGCCTCGGCTTTGAGTTCCCACGGCCTCACCCAAGTCCAGTAATTCCTGCCACAAGTAAAACATGTTGCAGCATCGATCCTCATGGTATTACCATTTTCAAAGAAATTACCAAGCTCAAATATGGATATATGTTTTTCTTCAATCAATGTAAAATCTACAAAGTGTCGGAAGATATATAAAATGATATCCCCATCTTGTTAAATCACTTACATTGCCAAGGATAACATTTGAATGCGAAGCAATGTCCCAAAAATTGCTAATACTTATCCAATGAAAGCAAACAAATTTTGACTGCACAGTAGATATGTTAGTTTTGACTACCCACCAACCTCCAGGCATAGCAGGGTTCAGAATGCCTAAAATTTCTCATGCTTAATACTCCTGTCATGTTTTATTTCTCCAGTGAAACCAAGCTCCAGTAAAAATACCTCTCCCAATTCTTCGTAATTGTTATTTTGCCAAGAAAACTAAACATGACAAACAAATTTTTGAAAAGAAATTAAAAATTCCAAAGCACTAAAACTGCAACTTTATACATGTCCAAGTAGGATGCAGCAGCATAATACATGTAGATCTTTAGGTTTAACTAACCTCATAAGTCATATTATCTGGATCGATATTGTCTTGCCATATAACCTGCAGCGAAGCAGAGAAACAGTTAGTAGATTAGATCTGAAGAACAAAATACAAAATGTACATCCTGGTTTCAGTCTATCAAGTCACAAGCTATAAAAAATATAGAATGGGTCAACCTTTTATCATAATTAAGTGCTTGAACCGCAAAATCAATTCTGTATTTTTCATTCCTTTTCCTGTCAGCTAACAAATTCTAAGTTAAGCCGACCCACTTAGTGAGATAAAGCTTGTTGTTATTTGTTTGTTAACAAATTCCAAGTTACATGGATCATATTCGAAAGAGAACTCTTTTCTGCTAGGACATGAAGTCAGTTTAGGGAATTCAAGTACCATCTTCAAGAAATATATATCTTCTTTGAAGGTGAATGTAACCAGAAGTCAATATGTCTCCTAATTTTCAAGCGTATAAGTGCGAGTGTGCCTAACTGGGAAAGACCCGACTTATATTCAAACATAAATCAGGCACATGAATAAGAAGGACGCCTACCTCAGCACTATTGGAATCATGACGATTTGGGCTGGCTGCAAAACAATGAAAATTTCATCATATAACCCTCACACTCTTCCAGATAAAATACAATCCAAAACAGCATTCACGCCCCAACTCTAAAAATGAAGGGGGGGGGGGGGGAAGACACTCCACATCTGCAAAACGAATCCCAAAAGATAAAGATGCTGTAGCCCCCATACTTTACCAAGTAAAAATAGACCAAAACAGAAATTAGATCAGCGGGTGAAAAAAGAAAAAAAAGCGGGCAGGTGACCCTTCACTTTAAAAAGTTCCCGATGATTTCAGCTTTACCACAATTATATGCATCCAGTCTCTTTCCCACCCCTTTCCTCGTTCTCTTATCTATCCAGAAACTACTAAAAAAGTATAGTACTAGTTTCAGAATAAAGAATTCCCTCTCAACTATTTACATTAGGTATTTACATTATGTATATATATATATAATATAATATAGTACTCAATTTTAGAATAAGGAAATTCTCGCTGAACGACTTACATTAAGCATCTATATTATTTATATAATATAAATATATAGAAAAATTTTGAGCTTACATTCTTCAGGGATGGTCTGCATTCCATTCACTCCATCCCTTCCGGATGGAGAGTCTGTTGTGGTGAGTTCCTCAGTGGTCGTTGTTAAAGGATATTCCCACTCTCCCCTATCGAACTCCCGTCTTGGTAAACTATTATTTTCTTCGTAAAATCCATAATAAGATGCACTATCCGGACCAGACAAGCCAAACTTGTAAGGATTCATGTTCATGGACCAGTATTCCTGAACACAAGCACATGTTAACATACATTATGATCATGCTTAATCAAGCAAAAATGTTGGGATTATGAGAAAAACGAAGCTAATTACAATATAGTGAGGTACTAAATAGCAAGTTATCTTTTAGCTGGCCACAGAATCGGAATGGTAAAATTTAAATTGGAAATAAGTAAACAAGGCATCGTCAAAAGTACATACAAATGGACTGTTGGCAGATATACCTGCCTCCCAGAATTCCTTGCAATACAGTATTAGCCGTTCAAGTAAACGAATAGTAATTTTACTACCTGTCTTCTGAATCCAACTGACTTAACATTCCCCTTCTCTATATTCTAACGACGTGTACGAATCTCACTAGAATTCTTTAAAGAAACACTTTAATGTCCACAAACCACCCCATCAAAAGAATATTTGTGTCGGTTATAAAATAGGTTGGGATTCGTGCAAAATCAGTAAAATCCAAGATGTCTAATAGCTTAGACATTAATTCCATAGGAAACCTTAGATTCCCATCGACAAACAAAAAAGCCAAAATAGTGGGGTAAAATTTTTGTTCTCGGTTCCTAAGGTGTGATAGAGAAAAAAAATCCAAGAGAAAACTTCTGCTTTTACTACCAAAAAATTTCCAGTGAAGTATGTCGTAAGACCAGACAATCATTAATCTAGAAAATACAAATTCAACAAGTACCGTAACAGTACCACCCGTCCTTGGATAGAATAGATCTACAGTTTTCATGCAAAAAACAACTAACGCCCAGCACCATATTCTATTGTTAGCAGTTATGCGCTTCTAAAATAGGAACATACATCCTAATTATCTCTCTCTCTCTCTCTCTCTATATATATATATAACTGCAACCTGATAAGGAATTGATCCAGCGTGATCATAATCCGCTGGCGGGCCGTCGAAGAACTCCATGAAGCTTTCACTAGGAGTATATGGAAAACAAGGGTCTATGTAATGCAACTCCATTGGTCTACCATCATTCATCTTGAACCCAATACCTGAACGACAACTGCACGAAGCAAAAGGAGCAAACTGCATAAAAGGTAAATCACCACACGAAAAACTATAAAATCAATGCGGAAAACAAATCAGTCTTAAAATAAAAAAGGAAATAAATCAGTCAATGCGGGATTCTCATCCTCAACAACCAAATTTCAGTTTCCTGGACGAATTCGTCAAGCAGAAACCTCCCAGAAACGTTATCCGTGACCATGAGTGGAGCTCACAAGCAACAAGTTACAAATTACACGAGATTATCTCCTTTTCTTCCTCTCTCTTTCTCTCTCTCACTCTCTTCCTGACCTTTTATTTTCTCACACATTACTCAGAAAACTAACAGGCAAGACGACAGACTTCATTATTACCATTCTAGACAGCAATTTCTTCAGATTTTTTTTTTCTCGGTAACCAAACGAAACCGGTAAGAAAAGAAGATTTACGTCTGATTTACCTTAATCTGCAGTTTCACATTCCAAAGTGTAGCGGAAATCCAAGAAGGAAGGAAACGGAAATCGGAGAGAACAGAAGCATTCGAGGCAAGAGAAACGGAGAGGAAGGAGGAGCAGTGTTGAATGGAGAGATTGGGGGAAGCAGTGAAAGTGTGTGAGAAAAAGGGAGAGAGAAGTAAGGGAATTGTTTTATTTTGTCATGTGCCCCTTCCCTGCATCTCTCTCGGTTTTATACATTTTTTTAAATAATTTTTTTTATCAAATATGGGAATTACTATATTAGGCCGATTGAAATATCACAAGGACGGCAAAATCTCTCCAATAAGTATTTAATGCAGTGACGAGACTTCTTGGCTTGCTAACGCCCCACAGCCTATTAAAAGGGCGGATTGGATTTTATGGGGAAATTTTCACTCTCAATGATATCATGAATATATCACGTGATATAAAAATAAATTGTTTGATTTAGCCAAATTTTTTTAAAATTATAATATAAATTATTGTTAATTTATTTTAAAAAATTGATTAAAATTTTGATTTTTTTTCAAATTTTTTACATCTTTCTAGTTGTGCCATTAAATATAATATTTAATTTATTTAAAATATCCTCATTAATTACTAAGATATATTAGGAATATATATGTAACACCTATTTAATACTTTTTATTGTCGACCAAACAAAGTTATAATTAAGATATTTATTGAAAAAGTAAATTTACGCTACACACTACCTTTACATCAAGAGATGGTTGTGGCCAGGGGACAATGGTGGGGATAAGACCTCTAGATGGGGCATAAAATCTTAAAAATGAAAGATGAGGATGCAAAATATTAAAACTTAAAGATAAAGAGTTCAACATTTTAAAAATATAAATACAAAATACTACAACATGTATAGAGAAAAATTATGTATTTTTTTTTTCAAAATTAGTGGACGCATTTGCCCATTTCATCACGTGTTTCGTAGCTTGTTGTGGGTTCTATATCTATACAGTGAAGGAATAGGTGTGTGGGTACAGTGACGGTGAGTGTTTGTCACTCTTCTCCATAGAGAAAGGATTATCCTTTCCTATAAAGGAAAAGATAAGTAAATAAACGTGTTCAGATGTTTATATTTAGGTCCTGTTACTTAATAATAAAATGAAATAGGTTAAAAAATTAAAATAAAAATAAACTAAATTATTATTTTTTCTTATAGTAATTAAAAATTATAAAACTCAATATTATATAGCTCAAATGTTAGAATTATCATATAATAAAAAATTTCATGAATCACAGCCCACAGATTCATAAATTAAATTACTATTCTCTCTTTTGAGTGTAGTTCACCTATTTTTTAACATTTTGATCATCTAATTTTTATTTTTTTAACTGTATTTCATTCTAGCAACTAAACGGACCTCGGTTCATTACAAAATTATTTAATACAGTTGTTTACCAAGAGGTTTAGGGTTTGAACTCGTTTTTGATGTTTTATTTGTTTCATTATATAGAATAATAAGTAAATATAACAAAAAAAAATCATGGGTCGTCAGCAAAAATGTATGGTTTCAGTCAACTTTACACAAGGTTGGAAGTTTAATCTTAGTAATTAGAATCAGATCCAAAAGAAAATCCTAGCAAATAGAAAAATCGCAGAACGACTTTACATGAACTAATATAGTAGTGTAGTGGTCAAATCTGTGATTTGGTAACACTAAATATTAGGTAATTTTATAGCAAATTATAGAATATAATCTACAATTTATATACATATGAACCAATAATTAATACTCAAATCTGTCTAATTTGATAGTAGTAAATATTAGGTGATTTTATAAAAAATATATACAATACAATCAATAATTTATAAATAACTAATAATACTTAAATCTGTTTGATGTGGTGCTAAATATTAGGTGATTGATGAAATGGTGGCAAAATGTCACCTGTAGACGTCTCATTTGTGATAATCAAATAAATTGGATAAAGAATTTTTTTTAGATATCTAAATTATTATCCCAGAATTGCTATTGAACTTATGGATATCCTATAAACCTTAAACATTTGCCAACATAGCTATATCACTGAAGTTAATGTTTACTCCGTCTCAATCAAAGTTCTCACACTCATATAGTACAACTTCACCTAAAATCATTGACTGTCAAATATTATCATTAAAATTAGGGATTTGGTCATAAAAGATTATATTATTACTTGTAATCATTTTTAAAAACAAATTGATCCGCAAACTGGGGCTTGCTCTGGTTATTAAAGAAGAGGCAAGTTGACCAAACAGTGGGAAATACCTGCAACGTGCATGGTTTTGTTTGTTTCCTTTGCTTCTGATGCTTGTGAACCACAGGAAATTTAAAAAAGAAAAAACAAGGCATTCAACTTTTTATAGACTGACCCACTGTTGCAAGACTAATTAACGAAACAGGAAATTAGAAAGAAAAACCTTCAAGTTTGATTTATATTGCAGGCATTTCATTTCTTTGTGGCAAGTTGGTGAGCAAAAAGCAGCGATAGTTTCTTCCCCAACTTCTTCGTTCGGTCCAATTATCTTCAGCTGATAACTCTCTTATATTTAGATTTTTTCTTGCACAAGAGACCAAACATGACAGGCATTTTATATATATATTTTTAGTTGGAAATGGATAAGAAAGCTTGTTTTTATATCATTGTGCGTGGCGGTTTGAATCTGTTGGTACTTTTTCGCCTCCATGGATTTTGGGTCTGTTGATTAATATATTGTATTAATTAAATTAAAATATAAATATTAAATGCATAAAATGAGGACTCCTTGACCTCGCTGAAATGCTTGAAATAATAATATGTTTCCTGTTGCACAATATATTGTTATATATAATTTAATTTCATTGGTTTCTTCCCTGATGATTAGTACAATTAGGAGAAAAAGAAATCCTAAAGAAAGTATTTGTGTGTGAAGTTCAAATTCCACCATCAAGCTCATAATATATTTCTTCCATTGCAGCGGCGTAATATTAAAAATAATAATAAAACTTTTAGTTGTTTAAATTTTTTTTATTTATCAATTTTATCCCTTAAAGTTAGTTTTTTATCAATTTAATTTTTTAAGTTTGCTTCATCTGTCAATTTGGTCCATATTGTTTTTTTCAAAGAGAAGGTGACATATTATTAAAATTTACTAGCATATAGATAAAAGAATATTAATGATAGTTATACAATTAATTAAAAGAAGTATATATACTTATTTAGATAAGATAAAAAAACAAACTTAGAAATTTTTAAAAACAAAAAAAAATGCAACATTAATGATAATTTGTTTTAATTTAGTTACATATACATACCAAGTCATCAATATCTTTATATATTAGATTAATTTAAAAGTTAATCTACTTTTTAAAACTCAAATGACTAATATGATAATTAAAAAATAAAATTGAATTAATAAAATTAAATTTGAGTTTCAAAATCAATAATTAAATTAAACTTAAACAACTGAAAGTTTTTATTATCGCTAAAAAAACGCACACACATGAGGTAGACAGGCCTCATGTCAAATAAAGAGCCAATCTATATGTCACGTGTCTATCTCTTGCAATATAACGAACGATGGGACCAAAAGAAGACCTGATCAGCAAGCAAGGAATTGTGTATTTGAAGGCAATAATAGGGATCGCAGCGAGGCAAAGTGTGTGAGAAAATGCAAAGAGTCACATGCACACTGACCAAGAGAGATAGGGATTAACCTAAATTGGGAGTAACATGTCGAAAAGGTGGTAAAAAAATGTGCCAAAGGAAGCATATCAATAGGTGCATCTGTATCTCATATATATATATATATATATATATATATTGACACTCACAGACAAGTCATTGTCTTGTTAAAGCACTCTGAAGAATTTTGGTTGGGTCTACTTCTCCAAAGTTAAAGAAGGAATCTAAGGAGCCAACTTCTTCCCTTTAAAGTTTAATCACAATATATTCTTTCAACTAATAGTAAATTTGCGTATATAATCCTCGTATTGATGTTTGGATTTATTTTACCCATGTAATATGACATGTCAATGAAAGTATTTGTACGTGGCCTAAAATTCAATCATTATATAAACGAAAATATAAAGTTTTAAGAGACTATTTGTTCAGTAACAAGTAAATTGTTTCATTATTTTATCAGTGAAAATTATTCACACAATTTTATACTTGATGAAAATTCATTATTAATTTTAAAATATCAGATAAAAGTTATTATCTTCATGTAACTTGAAATTCAAGAAAATTTAGTATGATTTAGCCAATGTTTTAATATCTGCTGTTATATCTTCACAACTGAGGATGGTATACAACTAAAAAAAAAAAACCAAGAATTTCAACATGATAATATATAAAATAAGGACAAGTATACATTAAATAACACCTACATATACAAAGTTGGTTAAATTAAAATGTTCTTAAATTTTAAAAATTACACCTTATTTTTCTCTTATTCTTTTTCTAGATAGTGAAACTCTACTTTAGACATGCCTTTCATTTAAAAATTACGACTGTGATGCCACATGCCAGTGACAATGTTTTGATTTAAAGTTGGAAAGTTACACACACATATATAATATTATCACTTTTTATTTCTGTACTTGTCATCAACACACTTCAATATTTTATATTTTTCTGAAGGGGAAAAAAGAAAGCATGAAGATATGCTCGTTAGTTGTTTGGATGAAGACTAAAGCTATCTCACGTAAAAAAAAAAAAATAATAAAGCTCCAATAGAGAATCTCATTTGCATTTTATTCTAGAGATAGTATTAAAAGGATAAACTCAAAACAATATATATATATATACATATATTAAGAGAATATTTCTCAAATAATACAAAAAGGAGATATAAGTGACAGTTAATTTGCCCGCCACTCAAAAAATCATGGCTAAAATATCAATTTTTGATCGAAACTAAAACTGATTCTGGGACATTATCCCAAAGAATGAAATTATTAAACAAAATCTGCCGGAGCAATTTGTTAAATTCTCAAAAAACTTGTGATTCTCATGATCATCTACACCTAAATATGAATCAGAAATCTAGAAACTAAGCGCCACCAGATCCATACTTCTTCCCGAACACCAATACCTGAAGCTTGTCATAGCCGGCAAGCACACCAGCACCGGCAACAGCACGGAGGATGTTGGCGCCGGCTCCCTTGAACAAGGACTTGGCGCCTTCATTCTTGATAATCTGAGCAAATGCATCCATGGAGCTCTTGTACTTGACTGCTTCACCAGAGGTCATCATCATCCTTCTTCTAACAGTGTCAATGGGGTATGAGGCTAGCCCTGCACCATTGGTAATGAGCCATCCCAGAGCAAAGCTAGCAAAAAAGCTATCCTGCATTCATTCAACAAACACCTATATGTTTCAGAGTTTCATCAAATAGTTTTGGCACAAATGTTAAAAACCAGAAAGGTAAACAAAAACAAGATGTCTTTCCTTGACATGGTTTACTTTACAATGACAGGATTGGTGTGCACAAACTATCAATTGAAGAGAAAGATAAAGATGAAAGAGATAATGGTGTAACGTGGGAAATGAATCTCACACAGCAAACAGTCAAGTTCTTTTAGATCAGTCTCTCTCTGAATGAATAAATGTAGAAGATGTAATCTATACCGAGCATATGTAAGGTCACGACATGAGATTCAGGGAAATTTTAATAAAAGGAGATATTGGCGTGCATTCAGAACCAAAGACAGGACATCTATGTTTGCAAACGCATAGGTACGAGAGAAGTACATTGTTCAAAACATAGAAGTCAAGTTTGTTAATATATATTGAATACATAAAGAATATAAGAATTCTTCCAACAATTAAAACAGTCTAGAGAACCTTCAATTATATATATGAAAGCAGCAAGGACAGTAATGCAAGTTTCTTTACGCTATCTCATTGTTGATATCATTTCATAAAAAACTGTAACATACAATGTCATTCAGGAAAAGGATGAAGTAAGAAAATTACCAACCTCTAACTTTCCAGTCAAGAGAACTGGCTTAAGGGAATCGTACATTCCAAAATAAAGACCACGATACACAATGATTCCAACACATGAGATGTTGAAACCACGGTAAAGACCAGCAACACCATCAGAAGCCAAAGTCTTCTTGTAGACATCAACGAGTCCATTGAATTGCCTTTCTCCTCCACCCTTCTTTGCGGCTTTCGCATCATTAGCCAGACGAGTTCTAGCATAGTCGAGGGAGTAAACAAATAATAGAGATGAAGCACCAGCAGCTCCTCCAGAGGCCAAGTTGCCAGCAAACCATTTCCAGTAACCATCCTTGTCCTTCTTGAAATTGAAAAGCCTCTTGAAGTAGTCCTTGAAAGCAAAGTTCAAGGCCTGCAGGTAGAATTTGAATATCTTCTTCAGCATCACATTCATCGAAACAAAAGGGCGGGGGCAAAAATCAGAAGAGTAAGAAATTAATAACTAACCTGTGTGGGAAAATAACGGATGACATTGGCAGTGTTACCTCTCCAAAGGGAACCAACACCTTCAGATTGAACTGTCCGGCTAAAACAATCACCAATACCCTTATAGGGCTCAGATAGCCTACCGGCTTTAATCATTTCATCTTGATTCTGAATCAAAAGTTTGACACGTTCAATGGGAGCAGCAGCAGTTTTTGATACAGCAGCAGAAACTCCGCCCATAAGAAAGTCCACCATAAAATTTCCTTTCTCAGCTGGAGCAGCAACAAAGATTGGCGAGCCTGCTGCTCCAGCAAGAGTAGAAATTTCAGTTGCAGGTCTGCATGCTGGCATTGATGGATACTGCAGTGCAGCATTTGAGTAATTCCCAAATGAGCGTCTTTGGAAGAGAGCAGGTCGGCTGAAACTGTTGTCATAACTTCTAATATCAGGAGAAAGCCCAGAATGGAGATGGATTTGGCCGGCTACCTTTTGTATGATGCTGGGGTGATGAACCTGATCAACCATGGTGACTATCATGAAAAAAGTCAGTATATAATGTCAAGTAATGTCTTATAAATTGAATTACATTGATTTGAGACATGAGTGTTCACAACAATCGAGAGAAAACAAAACCGCCAAGCATGCTTTAACAAGACACATGTAAAAAGTATTCAGGCAACAATCTAATATATTGAAAATACGCATTTCAAAAACTTCCTCTCAACACAAAAACAAAACTCACAACAGAACGCACCATATAGCTGCACACTCTTAACACATCTACCAGAGATCAAAGGATGTAAGTAAAGACACTCCCTGCTTCGTCAATATATGAATCTATATGTTATACCACGCATGTAACTTCTATACCGTCACCCGAGGTTGAGTCAGAGGCAATTAGAAAACAAAGATAACAAAATGAATCAAGAAATAGATTATGAAGCCAAAGCTACAAAGATATAGATCACAACATAGTAAAATTTCCAACCATTATTATTATTATTATTATTTTTGGTAAAATTTCCAAACATTTTTATCGCATGATCATGTGTTCACATCATAATGTTAGGACTAATTAACCAGATTCCTTGACAGCAAGGGTTGGCTCAAATGGCAGGATCGAATCTGTGAAATGCCTGCCAATGGCTATTTGTTGGTAGATGATAATCACGGCGCACCTTGCCTTGGAGCCAGAATAACCAATCTGACTCCTCAAACCTTGTCCATATATACCCAAAAAAAAAAAAAAATTACAGCTCCTCTTTGGAACAAGATATGATGCAATTAGAAATCTGTGATCATTACAAAAACATGATTCATATATATAACACCACCAAGATCTAATCAGTTCATATACATAATCAAAGTTCAGCATATGCTTCCAATTCTAATCATAAATTACTTCTCAAAAAGGAAAGCATGATAACAACAGCAAGATGACTTCAATGCAAAACCCGCGCAACAGTTTTAAAAAAACACATAAATTAACCACCTTTCAGAAAACACAATACAAGTAATCATGGTTAATAAAGAATGTAAAATCCCAGATATGAAATCGCATTCACTCACAAGAACCAGAAGGAAATGTAAGCGAGAAATCACGCGGATCAAACAGTTAACGATCCTCGATACAATAGTGTACACATCAACAAGCGACAGAAAACAAAATTCAAGCAGGATTAATGTTGTATACCTAAAAATGATAGCCTCCAGAAATGTACAAGAAGGATGTCAAAGAGTGAATGAGGAGAAACGAAGGGGACAAATATATGACAGATGAGAGTGAAAGGCAAAGAAGAAAGTGAAATGCTTAATTTACCTAAGAAGGTGGTGGGTGGCTTAGCGAATTCCTTGGAGACGCTCTTCGCCTTTCACAGGGTTTGGGAATGCGAAAGGTGTGGGAATATGGGAGGAAGAACTGAGGTAGAGGGTGATATGTGTGGAGGAGGCAAAGTTTTGATTTTTGAACGGACTAAGGTCCCTTTTCACGATAACCATCATATAAGTTCAACACAGCTGGCACAATATAGGATTTAAATCCTCTTACTTTTATATTAGTGAAAGTGAATTTATGCCAAGTTTGCCATTTTAAAAAAAAAGGGGGGGGGGGAATAGAAGATTTTATAGAAAGGAATAATGTTGAACAAATATAATTTATATCATGTCATATACTTTTTATCAAAGATCAAAAATTATTCTAGAAGTTGCCTTACCATAAAATTTGAAAGGAGTGCTGTAATAATGAGCATTGCTCCTAGAAGCAAGGGCTGTCCTAAATAGTGGCTACTGTGGGCAAATATATTATGAGGTTATTATAGCTCATCTCTATTTTTTAAATCTAATAAAATATTGCCTAAATTGAATCACTATTAGAACCTTATACTAAATAAATTATCTCCATTAGCACAAAGTCCTAAATTTGCCACTACCTAAGAGAAGATATTATAGTAGTACAAAGCCCTGAGTTCAACTTTGTGCGAATATATAAATATATTTGGGAGAACTATCAATTGAACATTACAATACTCAAATTTAACTAAGTGAAAATAGTAATATCAAATACATACATATATTAATATACTATATAGATACATTGTTTTTTGATAAATGCTATTAGATACACAATCAACATGAAACCTCCATGCTATTCCTGAGTTGTTGTTAGTATAATATGATTATTTGAGGTTTCATTAAATCGTGATTAGGCATTTTCAAATAAGTTTAATTTTCAGAAACAAAAATGAATGAATTCAAATATTATCCTTTGAAGATTTTTTATCGTCGTTTAAAATTATACTACCATAATCTTTTCTTTTGTCAGTAATTTTTTTAATTAAGTTAAAATTAGATGATTAAAAATATATCAATAAAAGAATTAAATTAAAGTTTTTTTTATTAAATTCAAGGGTCAAAAGTACTTTTTGACCAATAAAATCTCAAACAGCCACGTGCTCCGGTAACTTCCGAAGTCAAAAAAAGCTTAATTTGAGCCATGTTTGTTACATCACGTCTGTTTCGACTCATCTAATTTGGCACAGACATGAATCTTCAAACCAACAAATGTTCCATTGTTCACACCCTAGTGTGTTATATATGACTGAGCTTGGCCAAATATATATATATATATATATAACAGAGTTAATATTTTAAAGAGTTAAATGATAAATTTATTTTTAAATTAAAATTTTAGAAGTGTTTAAAATCCTAAATTTATTTTTAATACAATATTTTTATTTATATTTTAAACGATGTAATTTTTGCTCTCAATAATAAATATTAATTCTGATAATTAGTTAATAAAAAAATTGCAAAGAAAAAACTTAAAAATTATAAAAATTAACCAAAAAATTGCAAAAAAGATCTTATAAGAAAACTAATAGCTTTTTTAATATTTTTTTGGTTATTTTTATAATTTTTTTAATCAACTAATCATCAAAGTTTATATTTGTTAAGGTCTGAAGCAATATTGCACCATTTCAAAATATTAAAAGAAAATATTACATTAAAAATGAATTGAAATAATTTAAAAACAAATTTATTACAAAACCCTATATTAAAAAAAAGAAATAAGTAATCCGTATTGCTCAAAAGGATTTGTATCAATGGGGTGTTTGGTGTATAGAAATCCATCGAAATTCGAGATGTGATTCGGACAGGTAATTAACATATTTTTGCCAAACATTCGGGTAATAGCCTTTTATATGAACTAATAAGGCGATAAAAGAAAAATTATATCTTTGTAAATTTAGAATATGGTAGTCTGCATTCTTTCCCAAAATTGAGTATAAGAGCTTTATTACAGTACAAGTTTCAATTTTTTTTTTTTGGACCAGAAATACAAGTTTCAAGTTCACAATCACAGGACAAAACATTTTGACTTTTGCTCCTGCCAAGTTTAGATAACATTTGCATGTTTGATTTTTTTTTTACCCCTTAATGAGATGACTTGTTTATTTTTCATAAAGTTGTATTTGTTTTTAATTAAATATATATATTTCAATGTTAAAAACATAATTACTCGTTTATTGACAATGAATTAATTAAGAGATTTGGTGAGAGCAATTTTTTTTAAAAAAAAAGATAAAATAGCTAAGAAAGTAAAATTTATCTATGTTTTATTTAGAAAAACAAATACTTCCCTAATAATGAAGAATGCAGGAAATCTATACGTCCGCAAGTTATTCACTTCTTCCAACCATGTGAAATTCCGTGGATTGAATGACACTGGTTTACAATTTTTTCGCTTAATCTTAATTATTTAAGCCATGTCAAGTTCTTTTCACGTAATTTTGATTAGTGTCACTCACTCCCTTCAAAGTATAAAATAGATTATTAGTAACTAATTTACATTTTTTTAAAAAAAAGTTGATGAAAATTTTAATGTTTTTTAAAAAAATCACATTTTTTTAAATCATTCTAAAAATGTTTACATTTGTATTAAACTTTTTATGAAAATTCTATATGTCTACAAGTTATGTAAAAGATACAATTTAATTATATTAATTTTGATTTAAAAAATTGTGTATTTAATTCTAAATTTACATAACATTTTAATAAAAATATAAAAATTCTTAATTTTATTTTTAAACAGAAAAAATGAAGATTTTTTATTTTTAATTTCAAATACTAAACATATTTAATCATGTAGACTTAATTAAAATAAAATAAACTATGAGGACTTGATTTAAAATTCAGAAAAACTAGAAGGACTTGAAAAAATTTTTTTTTTCATTTTTTCTAATATACTTAAACCCTTGATACTTAAGAGGTATCAACTGCTGTCCACTTATTGATGATTAGTAGGGCTAGGAGTATATACTGCTACCATGATATGGAAAATTTCCCCAATATCATTTAATATAGTTAAGGATAAATGAGTAAATTATTGTTTAAAATTTAGTCTCAATAGCTCTATAAATTTTAAATTTATTTATTGTATAAATTGTTCCTCAACTATTGAAAAAAGTGCAATCTAGTTCTTACTATTAACAAAAATTAATATTAACTATTAGTTCTTTAGAAAATGATCAAAAAATTACAATTAGAGATAAAAATTACATGCAAGGAACCAAAAAATTATTGAATTTTTTTTATAATTTTTTATATTATTTTTCTATCATATTTTAGTTAATAGTCAAAGTTAACTTCTGTTAGAGGTAAGAATTATATTATATTGTTCTTAAAAATTAAAAGAATAATTTACACAAAAATTGAATTTAGGATCTACGGTATTATTGGATAAAAAATTTAAGAAATAATTTATTTATTTACTCTATGGCTAATGTATAATTTATTACAAATTAGCATGATATTTCATCTTAAATAAGTTTAAAAACAATAAAAAAATCGTACTAAAGACAAAATTAATGTTCAGGAGTGTCAACTTGAAATTTGTAAAAGGACCCCAAAAATAATAAAAGTGAAAAGTGAAAATTTCATTCCCAAATGACTTATGTGTTGGGAAGGTCAAAGCAAACTGCGGTGATGTTTTGAATATTGTCAGAGGAGTTTAACAAAATTACGCAACTGCCACTGAAGCTGTCATTCTTTGCCGAGACGACAGATTGCGCATATCTGCAGATTGCCGTCCTTCTCACTCTCAGCGCAATGTCTCAAGCCAATGGCCAGGTCTCTTAAATTTGACTAATTTTTCGTTCCATATCCAACCTTCGTGCTTTTATCTCTTTGTTCTTTTTTAATTCTTTAATTTGTATTTTTTATACTATTCATCGCTCATTTGCCTGTCACTGTAAATCGGCTTCCTGCGAAATTTTTATGTTAAGTTGAAGCTTGACCATGTTGATGATTCGATTTGGGCGTCCCCCGCTTCATCCTCCATCATCCATCCGTCTTCTCTCTACGTGTCTTCATCAAAAATCATATCCCCGGTCGTTTATTTCGTCCCTCGTTCAAAACCTAGCTCCTTCTTCCATCGTTTAAAACCAATTTCATACAACCCGTGAGAAACCCACCGTCTGTACTCCTCGTATAAGCCGTCACCTAGTAAGGTCCGTTCATCTATCGGCTCTTCCATCCATATTTCTTGTTGATTGTTGTGATTTTTCATTGTGCTGATCTTTTCAGTTCCCCCACTTTTCATTATTTGAAGCTCAATTTGGATAAATTCATGTGATGTTTTTTTTTTTTTTGTGGCTAATAATGTTATTTAATTTTTCTTTCCCTCCCCTTTTTACCTTATTTGGGAAGGCTGATTTGTCTGTCTGTCAGTTTCGCAACTTGAAAGAAGGAACTTTATTGGCACCATGAATGTGTTGAATGTGTTGTAAGCTGCATTTTCCTTTTAAAAATAATAATAATAATAACAAAATGTATCTTCATGTATCTTGCCTCTGGATCTTTCTATATTTATGCTAAATGAATTGATTTGGAGCCAGCTTAGTTTCTTCTATTCACAAGAAAAAGCATATTTCCTCAACTAGTTGAGTAATTAGTTTTGGTCATGTAAGACCTCAATCTCCTTTGTCTCCTAAATTTACTATTTTCTCCCATACTACCCATATTGATTGCTCACATTAACGTATGCAGTCGATAGGGGTAGTTTCTGGTGTAAATGATTAAAAAAATGGGGTATTTTAGGAAAACCAAGACACTTTTTTTACAAATAATTAACTTCACTAATTTCATTAATCTGTGTGAATTAGTTAGCTGAGTCCTTATTTAGGATTGGAAGGAGTATTAAATATCAAAAATATATATGGAGCTGCACTTTGAGTGTATAAAATTATTGTCCATGGAGAATGCATGCTCAACCTACCAAATGAATATAAACAATATCTTGTGACCTTAAAGTAATGCATTTTAATTTTTGGATTTTTTTTTTTGGGGCAAAGTTAGCTGGTTATATTGTAATGGCCAGCTACTAATAATAACCGTTACATTTAGAACTAATGTTAATGTAATTTAGTCACAAGCTGAAAGAATATCATTGCTTAAGGTTTGGGAATCAGCATCAATCAATATAAACTTAGAAGCTAAAGGAAGCTGCATTGTTCATTGATCTGTTAACAATAGCTTCCTAGCACGAGATCTAGCTGACTCAATAACACATGTATTTGCTTTGGAAGTTGGAACTACAATCTAGTTTATTGTTTAGGTCTTGCATATTTGGGATTCATTCTATCTCTCGAAGTTATTTGTTCTTCAGATAACTTGAAATTTGGTCTTTGAAGAAGTAACAATAGTCAAATTACATGTCGCTCATTCAGCCACATAATTGAAATTGTAATATAGCTTTACTATTTGTTCAATTTTTTTCCCTTCCATATCATGATGTCAATCTCACTGAACCTTATAAATGTGTTGTTTGTTAATTTTCAGCAGAATCTAAAGAATAATGGAGAGAGTCTGGAGAATAAGATCAAGCAGCATGAAGAAAACCTTAGATTTCTAACTTCTCAAGCAAATCGCATAGATGAATCTATACTTGACTTACAGGGTATGCAAAATAAGGCTTCCCTTCTATTTTTTAAGGGGAAGGTAGAGGGTGGGGGCATGGGTGAGGGGAGTCATCAAGATTAATTGTGCAAACTAATTTGCGATCATTGTAATTGTTACAAGGGAGTGTAACTGGGAGCGCTAGTTAGTTTGTTAGCCAAATTATTAGTTTAGTATAGCTGGTTAGAAGATAACTAGCTCTGATACGACAACTGCTATTGTAAGTGAGGAATATCATATACTGGGATGGCTGTCGAATAATATTCTCCATACTTTTTCTCTGCCTAGTATTAGTAACGATTAAATCTGTTTGATTAGTTGTTATATGAGTTTCTCCACCAACAATTTTTGACTGATTCAGTTTTTAGTGAGTCTTGGAAGGTATCATTCGACTCATGTAACTGGGATAGAAAATGGAAATGGTGCTTTGGAAGCTGAAGAGGAAACCATACAACAGATATTGAAGAAAGAGAACACTGCTGCTGGCATACTTTGCTGGTTGAAATCTAATACTTTGTCTTGGGCATCAAATGCGGTATTTACCAAGGATGTTGTGGGAGTTGTCGCATCTCTTGCCAGGGTTGCCAGTGCTGAACTTAGCCAGTCAGTATCTCTTCATTTTGAAATTTTAACAATCTTTTTGATCCAGGTTTCTAATACTGCAAAGAGCCTGTTGTTGTGTCCTAAATTGTGTTAACATTGAGACTTAAGATGGTGCTTAAGCCTTTAGTTATCCTACCAAACCAGCTGACTGACTGCAATTGACCTGTGGACTCATCTTGTCCCATCTTGAAATTCGAAGCTGATAGTTTTCTTATACTATCACACTTACATACCAATCATGATACAGACCATTCAAGCAACACGATCTATCAGTTTCCTTGTTCATTGTTACTAGTATGAATTTTAACAGCATATCCTCACCGGCATAGTCATATAGTAAGAAGATAAGTATTGCACTTCTCAATTCAGGGTTCTTTCTGAGCATCTGGGACTAGAGACTATGCTAGCAATTGTTTGCAAGACTCATGAAGGCATTAATGCACTTGAGAAGTATGATGCAGAAGGCACTGTAAACTCTTCCAGAGGTTTGCATGGACTTGGATCTTCAATTGGAAAAAGAGTACATGGCCGTTATGTTGTTATTTGTCTTGAAGATTTAAGGCAAGTTATGAACTGTATACTTTTACTTGAAGCGACCTGACAGTGTTTGATTATTTTTTTTTTTTCCTTTTCTTTTCTGTTTTCAGACCTTTTGTTGGTGGTTTTGTACCCAATGATCCTCAAAAGAAGCTAAATCTTCCAAAGCCAAAATTGCCTAATGGGGATTGCCCGTCTGGGTTTATTGATTATGCAGTGAACGTGATCCATTGGATTCTGAGAATCTATCATATCTTACTGCTGATGGGCTCGGCCTTCGGGAAACACTCTTCTTTGCCCTATTTTCACGCCTCCAAATATACGGAACCAGGGGAGAGATGCTAGGTGCTCTCCCATGTATTGTTGATGGAGCTTTGTCATTGGATGGTGGGATGATTAAGAAATGTGGCATCTTTTCTCTTGGTAGTAGGTAAGTGACTTTGCAGTAATTTTCCAGAACTTAGTATTGACTTTTCTAAAATGTTCTTTTGGTCTCTGGAAATAACTAAATTTTTTAAGATCTTGTTGCCTAAATTTTTTAAAATCTCGGTTCTTAGGTGTAAATTTTCCTTAAAATTTTATACTATTCTTCTTGTCTTAAAATCAAAGAAACTGCCTCACAAAACTCTTATCTGGTTCCAGGAAAGAAGTAGAAGTGAAATTTCCTGTGACCTCTGGAGAATCTGATCTACCTGCTAGCTATATTCAAGCCGAGGACATGGCAAGGATGTTGAAGTGGGAAAGCTCTAAAATTGCTGCTGATATTATAAGGGAACAACAATTATTGGATTACACAAACGCCAACCTCACCAACGATGTCTGAAAATCTATTTTCTTTTATTTTATTAACTTATAGTTTTAGGGGACTTTGAAGGCATTGCTCAAGCAAGAGGGATGGCTTCAGGAAAGGTATGCCCAGTTAGACATGTAAAGTTTCTTAGTCTAGTTAAACTATGATATGTGAATCTTATTTTTCAAGGAATCAATCATATAATGATTAATGATTAGTTGTAAGAGAATATCTACTAGTCATGCGTTATTGTAGAATCTGATAGCAAATATCTTAGAAACTGTTTAGTGTGTTGAGAGTTCAGTTTAGGAACTGGAGTCAGGAAAAAGCTTAGCGTCATTGTTTTTAAACTTTTCTTTTTGAATGATGGAAGCCCTCTTGGATAATGAGTATTCCCTTTTCTGTTTGACTTGAGCATTTACAATGACAATTACCAGTTAATAAATTTTGCTAATTTAATTTCTAACTGGATGGTGTCCCGTATGATATGATGCACAGAATGCTTTGGTAGGCCGAACATGAAAATGTATTCTATGAAAAAGCATATAATAATATTTTTTATATGCCAATTATAAATAATAAGACCTATTTTCAAATTTTATACATTAAGTATATTTGGTTCACTTGAATGACCGATTGACTTATATTTAAGGTGGACTTAAACACATTTTCTTGTTGATTTAATGTTATCAAATTTGAACTTCTTTTTTGTAAAAAAAAAAAAGTGCGAGATTTGTCTAGAATTTAATGTCAGTTCTAAATTTGGATACTGGTGAATAAGGTTTAAATTTAAAATAAATGGTTTCTTTTTTCCTTTGAGGTACGAAGGATCTCTCATTAAAGTTGTTTTATGCATAAGAATTGAAATTTAAACTTTCTTGACAAGACCCATTATTCATGGACTAAGCTAGATAAAATCACATTGATGGTAAAGATTTTCAAACAAGTATTTAGCACCTTTATATGCCCAAGACTTGAACTTGATACTATTAATAAAGTTAGTACAATTTTTTACCAGTTGAATTACCTGCTTGTTGGATTGTGATTTGAACATTTGATTAGTTGCTTAAGAGTAAATTATTTCAGTCCTTAAACATTTTTTAAACTTTTATGACAATGTGGGGAATTGATTCTTTCTTGAGAACTAGTGTTTTCACTTGTATGCAGTGCGCAAACGCAATAATGATGATATTGAGAAATATTTATTTGGAAAGTGGCTCTAACATAAAAATTTTTAACAGGCGGATGGGTCCACATGGCCCTTGGGCTATTTTATTGGACTTTGATTTAATGGCCTAGACCCCAGTGCTTACGGGCTTCTCTTCTCAGTTGACACCCCCAGAAAAAGCACTGTTCACTTCTCACTCAAGTAGCTTTCATATCAACCCAGAAATAAAAATAAAAAAAATAATTAGACGTAGAAAATCTCACAAAATATAGGTATAATAGCTATGAGAAATTTGTTTCGTTATCGCCTGCACAAGAGAGAAGAAATGGAGGTTTGTGATGTAGAATATATGACACATGCTTATCTCATGTTTGGTTGGAGGAAAATGAGGGGAGGAAAAATTCTGATGAATCTGATTTTATAGAAATTCATAAGTGGAGTTATACAGTATTAATAAAGATAAGGCATAAATTAAAACTTTAAAGAGCGAGTAAAATTAATTAAAATCTTTTAACTCCACTTTTCCGTATTTTGTTTCAATCAAAATAGAATCTTTCCTCCCCTTCCGTCCAACCTAACCCTTATAGCATAGAAGATCTTTTGATGAAAGTGAAAGTAGAAGAGGAAGAAGAAGTGAGATTGAAATAAGATTTTAAAACAGGTATGCACATGGAAGTGGAGTATAATTCTCACTCTTGTTTTAAGTCTTAAGTTTGATGGAACCAAGTCTCAATAGGGTCTAAGGGAACTGAGTTCCATCAATTTTGGTGGAGATAATGAATTCATTCAAGAATGGGTTCATATGTACTAAACATACAATTTTTAGATTTTCACTTCTCAATTCCAACATATCAAATGAGGTATTAAGTTTGGTCCCATGGCATGTTGGCCAAAACTCAGAGTTCAAATATTCTCTCTAGTCCTTAATATAAAATGAATTTTAAATGTTTTTTTTTTCATATAAAACAAAGTTAGAGAAATTGATATCCTTTTTCAAATTTCACCCTTATTTATTTATTATTGTATGAATTTCTAAACAACAACTTAATATGATTATTAATTACAAAGAAGATAAAAAAATAAAAAATTACATATTTTTACAACAATTTTAAAGTATAACTACAATTTTTTAAGAACCACAGAAATTAATTAAATTTATCTTGTATTAAAATTGTTGTTTGAGTTGCAATGCCTAGTGGCAGAGGGGCAGTGAACTCTAGAGAGCAGCTTTAGATCGTCACGTGGAGATTCCGTACATGTTTCTTGGATTTCATAAACTGCTACACCAAACCTATATAACGTGTCTACGTACGTACAAGCACCAACCCTGATGACTGCTAATTACATTCTTCTAATTCACTGAGGTCTTGGAATTAAGAAACTCCCTCAAATTCCAAACCTTCAGCAGTTCAACTTGTGTTCACCTGCAGAAAAATCTAAAAACAACCCTTCCCAATCGTATCCGTGTTCATCGGTATTATCATTTGTTTCTTATCAATAGATCTGGAGATAGCATATATTATAAGGCGTTATTGATCAATGAATGTCACAAAAATGGATTCTAGCCTCTTGTAGACAACACGTCACCACTTAATTGATCAAGACATGTAATAATCAGTTGAAGTTAGAGTGCATGTGAAAAGAAAAACACGAGAGCTAGGTTTGTGGTTCTACATACATATAAAGAAATGTTTCTTTCAACAAATAAAACCAACAATATTTCATGCACACATTTGATGAAGTTGACTCAAAAACGACCTCTTTTACATTCATTTTGTGAATGAATAGTGAAAAATTTCCAGATCTGGGCCATTGAAGTTGATGAGACGAGAGGGCTTGAGGGACAAAATGAATGACAGAGGAAAAGTTTATGAGGTTGGTAAGAAACAAACAGGCGACAGTGAAACAAGCATATATGTAAAGTTGTGAGGTAAGGTCTTATTCACATCACATTCTGATAAAAGCTTTAGATTTCAGTGTGCGTGTGTGTACGTATGACAAATTTTAAAACTTGACCCTGCAAAGTCTAGCACCGATGGTGAACCTTCGGGAGAGGGAATGTACATATCATGTTACGTGGTGTTCTCTCATAATTAATAACGTGCCATCCCAGGTTGAGATTCCAGAGAATATTAATGGAATCATGATCTTAATAATAATGTCAGGGTACAGTTTGGAGTACTTTGTGTGTTTTATTTGAGAAAACTCATTAATTGCGGGAAGAAAAGAAACCATTTTTTGCAGAAAAGATTACGTTGTGATTGTGTGTGTGTGTGTGTGTGTGTTTGTGCAGGACGTACGAGTCTTAAGGTCTAATATATATATAAGAGGCCATGTGAAATGATATGTTGTTCGTTTGAGTTATGACAATTCAATATTATAAATAAAAAAACAGGTTCTATTTTAAAGTACAAATTTTGTATTCGAGCTTTGTACTTTTTTTTTTAGAAAAATAAAATTGACATTAGGAAATATAACCTTGACTTAATTTAGATTACCCAGCACTTAAGGTAACTTTTAGAAAAATGAAAAACTTATTTAAAAAAATAATAAAAATAGATTCAATTTAGATGTATAAAAACTAGTCTGTGTGTGAGAATGGTGTAACAATTGTATTAAAATGTTAAAATGGGGTGGACTAGAGCTGATGTTAAAATGATAAATAATAAATAATACATAATAAAGTGAAAGTATCTATAAGTTCAAAAAATTCAGTTAAAATGTGACATCATTTTACACTGTCGTTGGCTTATTTTGTTTGTTTCTTTTAATCACCAAATTCTTAAGGGTATGAACTGTAAACATGGCTTCATGGCTTGAGACACCCACATGCATGATGGCTTTAAGGACTCTTTGGAATTAGGTTAAAGAGGCATGATTGATGTTTTTGGGTTTAAAGATGTTACACTATTGAGATCTTCTCACGTGAAGTGGGCTGAGAGTGTGGCTGTTTGAATGATCTTGGGCTTATAACTGGAGATTATGTGTCAAAATTGTGAGGTTATTGGGTACGGAAACTGTTCATCAACGAAAAATAAAATTGTCGTGGCGTGAGACAAAACTTTAACCGAGCAATTCATTGAAGGCAATTTTACGAGTTGATTGATTCATACTTGTTCAGCAACTTCACACGTAGACGTTATCTCCTGATCAAGCAGGAAGGATATATTTGAATTTCTTCTTTTCAAAGGAACAGAAAATCTGAATTACCAGCGAATCAAATCCTGTCTGCTTTCTTAGGACTGTAAAGTATTAAGGATCATTACACAATCTTGGAGGTTATGTTGTGTTAAAGAATTTCTAAGATGGAATGATCTCTAGGCTTGAAGAATTTTGCAAACTTCAGGTATGTAAAATATAAAATGACTTCTAGGTGTTTGGAAAAATGCCTACGAGAATTTATCAATGAATGAAGCTACCTTAAATGATATTCTCTGTCTTGAGTAAAAATAAATAAGTAAATCAGAGAGGGTGATCGAGGAACCCTACTACCATTGATATTGTGGAAATGGAGTGTGTGTGTGGCCCCATTGCTCTGTAACACTACCCAATAGTTAAGTGCTTCTTCTTCATGCTTCATATAAGCCTTAAACAAAAGAGTCTATTTCGCACAGGATTTGCGGGATATGCCCCTTATAGTTTTGAGTGTAGGAGATAAGTAGCATGATGAAGACGCGCAAAACAACATTTTGTTATTAGTGCCATTTTGCTTCCATGCTTCACCCTTCTGAATCACTTCTGACAACAACGATGATGATCATTTCTATTATTGCCGTCATGATAAACTGAAATTTGTTATCTTTGTACAGGGTATGCCCTGTTCCACCAAACAAAATTTTTCTGCAGAACTACAAGCTTGACATTAAGAAATATAGCCTCTGTTGCAAATTGGTACAGCTTTAGGATTAGTCATATTCCAAAAGCTTTTGTAGTCCCCAATATCAACTTGTTTTGTGCTAGCTTTCTAGGGCTGTCTTGTCTACATTAATGTTTCCAGACAACATTGTAATTAAGAAGTAATGAAGGGCTGTAATAGCGATTGAAAGGAATTTTAGTATGAGGTTAGAGAATCTAATTACCAGGTAATCCTCATAAAAATCTCATGTAATAATGTGATCCTCAAGTCCTGTCCCTTACAATGAGATTGCAACACTGATTCACATAATTACTTGAAAAAAATTATCTTCTGATCCATATAATTTTGACTTGATCATAACTTTACCCTCAAATTTTAATTCAATGTAATTATTCAATCCTCATAATTTTGACTCATATAAAACTTCTAAACTTTAATTTATTGTGACTTGATTCAAGGACTAATACAAGGGGCAAGTTGGGGTGCTTGCCCCCCATGATATAAGCTCTCTTTATAAAATGTGAAAATATTTATTTAAAAGTATAACCTGTGTGAAAATTAATTTTAGTTCCCCCGCGTTCTTGTAATTTTTTATTTTTGACCCTCCATGTATTGATTTGTAGATCTATTCTTGATTTAGTTCCTATAGTTTTAGTAATATAAAATATTAGTCCTTAAATTTTAAATTAAGTCTTTATAATTTTGTTGGTTTAGAATGTAGAAATCAATGTTTTAAATGATTAAAATTAACTGAATTATACTGAATCAAAATTTAAAGATTTAGTTACAACCAATCAAATGATTAAGGTATAACAAGTTAAAATTCATAAATTGAATTATAATTGAGTCAAAATTATAGAGATTGAAAAATTACTCTTACATGGCTTCTCTAGATTACGGGTTACTTCCTACTCTGTTCACGGCTGTGGTGGCTCCACCTTGATAAGGAAGTCCTAAAATGACATTGAATCTCATGGAAGGTGTCTCTATCCTTCTCTGCAATGGTGCACTTATTGCAAGGTCTACTTTCTGCCACACTATCCTTCTAATTGTTCAAGAAAGTTACCAGAAGCTTTTATGAGACGTAAGGAAGCTGTCCACGTTGCCCAAAGAATGTCATCTTTTTGGATTTTTACTCTATAATTACAAATGAAAAGGATCGTGGTTCGCCTTCTTGTTCTTACATCACATGATCGATCACATATTTTGAAAACAAATTATTTAAACAAACTACTTATGGTACCTTTCAATGTTGGCTTATGATCAGTTGTGTTTAGAATTGAGAGCTAGTTGGTTTATTTCCTATATTTCAGGGCTAAAGCTTCTATAATAGTAAATTGCTATCCTTGAATTTTTAGGCCTCGTTTAGTATGATGAAGAGTTTTTGATAGAATCAGAATTGAAATTGAAATTGAATTGAGTTTTAAAAGTGTGTTTAGTACGAAGATAAAATCATGATATAATTTTAATAAATATATGTATTTAAAATATAAAAAATTAAAATACCCTTTATTTTATCTTTTTAATGAAAAACTTAACAATAAAAAATAAAGAATGTACTTTTAAAGCTCAAAATACCTTTTATTTTATTTTTTTAATGACACATAAGTTAATTCCATATTGAGTTGGTGGATTCTATGGTCTCTACAATGAAATTGGATTCCATCAATTTTAATGGAATCAGATTCCTTCAAAAAAGCAATTTTGGTATACCAAACAAGTCAACCGAAGAATTCCATGTCTAATTCTATTTCCCTTTTCACAATTCTGATATACCAAACATGACCTTAGTCATTCTAGATGACATCTACTTGAGTAAAACACTCCTTTTTAAAATCAAATCACCTGGTATCTGAAAGTTACATTGGACTCTGACTAGTTTGGATTGAGCCAGACATAACCACAAGGGCGGCAAGCTTTCTAAACAAGTGATTAACACAGTTATATACGCAAAACTAAAGCACGGGATTACTGTTAACCTAGCCAGCGTACAACCGTACCAGCTAAGGTATGAGTTCGTCGGTGTGTAAGGTACTCATTTTTTGTTAAAAGCATTGCTATTTAGATTGTTTCAACATGTCTCTTCATTTAGTGTTCTTTATTAGAATTTGTATCACCGTCAAAAGTACAGGCTTGATCGTTGAGGTTTTTATCTATGTCAATGATTAATTAACAAAAAGATAGGCCGTTGAGAGAACAAGGAATGATTGATTCTCTTTCCTCGCTCCTTAGCTTTTCAGCTAATTCAGGTCTCTCATGTTACATTGCCTAAAAGAAGTGTGAGGATGCGGAATCTAAGCTGTCTAATCTTTGTTTAATTGCTGAAGGAAAGCGAGTTAGTGAACCTTTTCAAAATTCTAAAAGGCCTTCGATTTGACCCTTTGCTAAAAAGATAGATACATCATAGAACACTATGAGTAATCCTGTGGGGTCCAAACTGACGTTATGTGTTCCTTATGATGACCAATTTGACTGTGGGAGAATGTGCAGGAAATATTTATTCTTATCCTATATTCATTTCCATTTTGAACCTTGACAAAGTTAACCATTGAAGGTTACTTCTGCTGATTAAGAATGACCCTGAAGGTTAAATGAATCATCTATTATCAACAAAATTTGATCTAATTAATAAAAATTTAACTCATCATATATAAAATTATAAGTTCAAATCTCACTATGATATAAAAATTACATTGTTAGTTAACTATCTATAAGTATCTTTATAAATTTTTTTTAAACTTAGAGACATATTTTGATCTTAATGAATTCCTAAAACTTAACTCACCTAAATTTTTTTCTTCTATAAAAAATGAAGCATCCATCTTTAGAAAATCTTAATATCTATGTATCTCAAAGTCTCAAACGACTACTCACAGAATTTATACCAATTTTAATTTAAAAGACTGACCTGGTGACAAGAAGTTAGCAGGTAAAGTGTGACCAAATGTATTAAATGTCCTGTATTTGACTGAGTACTGGAGAATTGAATTACTTGAGTTATATTGTTCATTCAGACTATGTGTGTATTTGATTTTATGTAGGAAAATATGTGGTTTTGGTGGTTTCTAAAGTGAAACTCAGCACACTATATGAATGCAAAAATTTTCTCTGATCATATCTTTCGCAACCTAATATAGTATTAGTATGCAATGAGCGGCAAGCAGGAAAAAAAATTCACTGGTCTCCTCGAGCTCACTCAAGCGGCAGTACAGGCAGGAATATAGATATTTTTGAGGATAGGCCCTCTTAACATATTCACCCCCCCCCCCCAAAAAAAAGAAGAGAAGAAGGATGAAAAAGGTCTAGTTGAAAAAAAAGTATAAGAAATAGAAAAAATCTCCGTAAAGTCATTATGGTAGAGAATTCCAGCTGATCTTCTTTATAATTTATTTTTTATCAACTTTATTGATATCAATATAAAAAATGTATAAGAAATTAAAATGTATAAAATTTTAAATATATCTTTATATAATAAATTTAAAAATAATATTATATTATTATTTTAAATATTATTTTAAAAAATCACACTATTATTTATAAAAAAAATTAGATGAATCTTTTAAAATGTGATGTATAAATGGGACAGAAGAAAGTAGTAAACAAACTGAATTTAGAGCTACGGTGTAAAGACATGAGGATAGGGATATTGATTATTTTTTCCTCTTCTGCCATAAATTTCATAAGATAAAGAAGCAAGCGTTGTATACATATTATTAAAGTACAAGTATATTACATCGTAATTCAATGGGAGTCAGAAAAACTTAGACTTTTATAGCTGATCTATATAGCACTGAATAGTGAAGGACAAGCTTTTACCTAATTCTGTGCTTCATTTATTATAATTTGCATCGTTCAAGCTGTACCTTATATTGGAGGTGGGTTTCCAGTTTTATTATAATATATACACACACAGTAATAATTCACCCCGTATGGAGTGTGGACAAATGAAGAACATGTGTAATGAAGGGGGAAAAAAAACATCAATACCTGACACTTCCTAGACATTTAAATTTAATAGGATGTGACACACATTAATTAAATATTTTTCCAAAGACCCTTCTAGTTTTATTGAATGCTTGTGTTTGGATCAATATTTCTGGACTTAGCCTTGAGCTTAGCTTGAAACTATTACATGGTTGAAGGAAGAAGGAAATGTATGGCATTTGCTTGAAGCTTGTTTTAATTTGTGATGTTGTCAAAGCCTATGTTATCCTTTTCTGACCATTGTGTTTTTGTACTGTTAATGCAGTGAGAAACTGCGACGAAGGCTAAGGATATATGGAGTGCTTCTTCCCTGATGCGTCAACCTCACTACCACTCACTGACACAAACCCTATCAGCTGAACCAAAGCTACACATAATATACATATATATATATATATATATATATATCATATCATATCACACCAACACAAACTTTGGCCATTTTGTATACGAGGGGAGTGTTGTGCAGTTTCTGCAAGCTGCTGCTATGCACCTCCATTGATACATCACTTTCAATGCGTATTAAGGGGACAGAGAAACTGAGACGGAGACAATATTTTTTTCACCTTAATATCCCTATTTTCACGTAAAAGATGGTGGTAGGGATATTAGAGTGGGCCAGCAATTTTCCTGAGAAAGTGGGGAAGAGATATATATACATCAGCGGGAATATAGCATCTTGCTGCTAATAGATAGATAATAAAACCCACATTTTCGGCTCAAAATAGTATTGGTGAGGGCCTAGCTAGGGCCTCCCCACTTGAGAGTGGCATCTGTTACAGCACTGTCCAGTAGATTCTGGGTTTTCCTTTGCAAGGTTTTAACTTTTTCTTCTTTCGGAACTGCTTGTGATGAAAACTGCATATATCTGTGTGTGTGTGTGTGTGTGTGTGAGTGACACACACGCAGAGACACGTGTATGTGAATGTGAAGTGATCTGTAGATACTGCATTATTGGTCTGATTTTGTAAGGTTACAGTGAACTTTGAGAGCAATTCGGTTCAAATAAGTGTTTATTTGTGGACAAGCTTAGTAACATGTGATCTCACTCCTGACATCTTACTTCAATATGTGAGATGTGACTTAAGTGTAAGAGGAGCTTGGTGTTTGTAAAATCTCATTGTTTTGAACATACAGCATTTTTTACTACTTATAAAAAGCATAAAATCTCAGTTGAATATATTTAACTTGGCTAAGTTTTATTTAACATTGCTTGTATAATTCTTATTAATTACAATCCATACATGCATATCATTTTTTTCCTAACCATTTGTGTGCTTATATATCAATGCAGACATCACATTTTATATTGTTGTTTTTGATTATTACAACAATTCACCAAATATATCTTGGATTGTTAGTGAATTAAGTATACTTTTTAATTTCCATTTGTGCATGTCATTCTTGCACAGAAACCATGCGAATCTTTTCTGTATTGTTTCAATTCTGTTATATGTTCCCAAAAGAACAGCCTCCTTTCTAATTAGTGACAATATATGTTATAAGAACATCTGTATCTCTAAATATTAGAGGGACTTAAGCCTTCAAAAACAATCTCATGATGCAATATTCATTCATTTTATAATAATTGCAATCCTGTCAATTTCTTTTCTTTTTTCCATCCTTACTGGGAAAAAACAAACTCATCAATAATGTCGAGCCTAGAAGAATAAGATAACGATGTCAATAAAAATAAATAAATTAAAGGACCATACGTCCATATAGGAGCTTGTTTCAATTATGAGGTAAAAGAGATCAGACACAGTCCTTTAATATGGTAGGTAAGGAAATGTTAGTTTAAGTGGGGCTAACCTTTTTCAAATTCATAATTAATTCTTTCTCCTGTTCACAATATGAGATATTTTTTTGGAAACCCTACTTGATTTAGAAAATAAAACATCAGGTAATTCTTTTAATTTTTTTCAATTTTAGTAAAACATCAAGTATTGGTGAAGTAAGTGTTTTTTTTAGAAAATAAAGCAAAATAAATAAGCATATTTCATTCAAAATACCATTAGATTTTACTAATATCTAAACTGTTTAGTAGTTTTCTTAGTCTATATACATATATATTTTCTCTAAAAGGATGGACATGTTATAGTACTAATACAGGGCTGTTCGTTACAGCTTATTTCTTAAAAAAACAAATTATTTTTTGGAAAAAAAATATTTTGTGACTTTTTATGTTGTTTGTTTAAACTTTTAAAAATAATATGAATAAAAAAAAGCATGTTTTCATTATTTTAAAAAGCTACTTTGAGTGGCTTCTAAAAATAATCTAATAATACAGTAAATGAGAGAGGTTATTTTTAAGAGATGGATACGTGAAGATATCATAAAATTTTAAAATAATATCATAATAAATTATTTTTATAAAATAAAAAACAAGATATCATAAAATTTAAAATGACTTACTAATAATTGCTTTTTTATTTTTCAAACCAAACATAAAATAATGTCTGCTTTGTATAAAATCTCTATAAAATATATTTTTTTTGTAAAATTTTTAAACTACTTAAAAATTACTTATTTTTTAATTTTAAACAAATGGGCCTATTTACAAAGCAGAGAGAGAAAATTTTTTTGATCCTATTACAAGACACGTCAATGATTATCATATCTATCTTTACTCTTTTGCCAATATTCAATGTTAGAAAAATTACTAAAAACTATAGTATTTTATTTTTAGAGTAAGCATATTTAATAGAGATAAAATTAAAAACTTGTTGAATTTTTAGATAGAGTTAATAAAGTTTAAGATTTTTCTTGTTTTGTTAAAAATGTTAAAAGTGATTTATAAATAAAATTAAAAGGAATATAATGTATATAATGTGACCCCATAAAATAGAAAAGTTATCGGATTGAAAATAAAAAAGGAATGATATGGACACGAAGGGATCAAAAATGTCAGCAATTTGGTGGATTTAGACATATCTCTCACAGATTTAAATACTTTGAAATTGAGATTGGAAAATTTAGGTGAATCTTTTTTAACATATTCGCTTATCTTATTTTCTTTTATAAAATATAGAATCTTCTCTAAACTATTTTATGGGGTTTTTACCACCAAATTGCTTTTCTCCTTAAGATTACAGAGACATTGATTAATTATAAAGAGGAAAATTTTGTTGACTTTTCTCCCAAATGAGAAGGAAGTGTTGATAACTTTGGTTTTGGTTTTGTGTGAAGGAGTTTTTAAACTATATTTCACCACTCAAGTGAAATTTTTGCTTTAAACCCAATTATATAATCACAATTCGTAGTACAAAGTAATTAGAACGAGTAATTGTTATGAACAAGATTTGATAAGCAGAAGTGCACAAAGATAAGCAAACTTAAAAGGATTAAACACTAATAATTAAAAGTTATAGAAAAGTAAGAAACTGGTAAAAGATAGCATAAAAAATTTACGTTGCAAAATTTTCGTGGGAGGAATAAAAAAATTCACGAACAACGAAATATTCTGCTATGAAAAATTTAATAGTAGCCTCATTTTCATAAATATGGAAATACTAAAAATATAGTGGGTGCATATGGGCTGAGTCAGGTTGAGTCATGTTTGGGCATCAGGCTACGAAAAGGTTCAGGTTAGGTTTTAACTCAATGCCCGAAATTTATTTTAAAAATATTTTTAAAGTATGAAAATAAATTTATTAATAAAAAAAAAATGCATGATGATCATAAAAAATTAAGTGAAATAACATTATAAAATTATTATTTTTTAAAAAAATAAAATACATAAATATTTTGGGCCAGGTAATGCTAGGATTGACCCTAGACCGATGCCCAACGCCATTGCTCAAGCAAGATTAAGCCGACAAGGTTACCAAGACACCTGTACGACCTTATATATATATATATATAGAGAGAGAGAGAGAGAGAGAGAGAGAGAGAGAGAGAGAGAGAGTGCTTTAAAAAAACTATAAATATTAACTTGGTTAATAAATAATTCCTCTAGCCCACAACATAAAGAATTTTTTTAAAAGCATCACTTAATTCAAAATATAAAGTATTATATAGGTTTTATATATTTCTTTTTGATTATATTCTTAATTTATTGTATTCTACTAATTGAATAATTAATGAAGATGTTTTGAACAAGTAAACTGTTATATTTATTCTGCTCAATAGTGCAGTGGGAGGAACGTAAAAACTTCTATAAAATCAAGATTTTAATTAATTTTTTTAAACATAAATAATTAATAATAACTTATATTATGATATAGATGGAACAAAAATTATAAGTATGCAAAGTAGCATATCTAAGCCAAGAATGCAGTTAACTTGTAGATTTCAACGATTCAAGAGTATATTAGAACAAAGATGATGTTGAAAGAACGTTATACAGAACAGTTTGTCTTGTTGGAACAACTCAAACCTTGTAGTCTAATGATAAAGTTGAATATAATTCTCTCTCTCTCTCTCTCTCTCTCTCTATATATATATATATATATTCGAATGTTACACAGAGACATGGAGGATCTGTGTTAAAAGGCCAATTCATGAACTCAATAATGCCTTCGAAAATTACTACTCACACATGAAAGAGAGACATGTCTAAATCTTCCAAATAAATTAAAATTCCAGTTTTGCCTTTTAAATTTTTTATGTTTTTGATCAATACAAAGAATTTGTAATTTTGCTAAGCTATTGATTGATGGGCTTATAAGTTCCTTATTACCTTTGTCAATATCAACCTATATTGATATGTAACTTATATATGATGTTGCAGCAAATATAAGTTGTGAAAAATTAGACATTTTTTTAATTATTACATGCAATGTTTTGAAACCCCATATTTATAGTTAAATAATGAAGATAAGGAAAATATAACTTTAAATCCGTACACTTTATTCAAATTTTTTATAAATCCTTATATTTTTATTTTTTAATATTTTAGATCTCTTCGTGAGCGTATTATAGGGACAAGAACACAAAAAAATAAAAGTACATGGATTTAGACCATAAAAAAACAGTGCAGGAATAAATGGGGATAACCAAAGTTATATTTTTCCATAAAAATAAAAGCCATTGAGTAATAATTACAAAGAATATGCGATAGATTGCAAATAATCTATTCTCACTAAATTCCACAAAAATGTTAATTAAAAATTTGTTTCAAATTGTAACATTAATTTATGTGAATTTTCAAAAAAAATTTGTCCCGCTAACGTGCGATCCATATATATATATATATATATATTACTAAAAAAATAATGATCAAAGACATTACTAATCCATATAGACTTTCTTTATCCCAGCTTAAGTGTGTGCGCGTGTGTGTGAGTGAATTTTTTTAATCACATCCTCGAAAGAAATAAATTAAAGCACATATTTTCTTTCATTTTTTAATAACATAAATGTTTCACTCATATATATGCCTCGATTGAATGTTTCTGGAGGGATGTAGAACGTGCGATGACCTGGGTAGTAGTAGATTAGGAGACCTCAAAGTTCTGGAATGCATTAATTAAATCATTTTGAAAATATCATTTATTTTGATTTCTATATAATTTGCGTTGTTTATTGCACGAGTGGCTTTGAAATAAGCGTCGAAAGATTTTCAATAAAATTCCACTGTAATGTTTTTAGTGCTTAAAGAGATTTTTTTTTTTTTTTACTTTGACTATTCAATGTTACGATCTTGATTTAGATCTTCATAATATTATCTTATGTTTGATTCATTTTGAAACTAGAACATTCTTTTATTGATTCGAACTGAGCCGGATCAAACTATATGATTTTAAATTATTTTTTTAATTCATAAACATTCCAACTTGATTGAAAACCAAATTAATAATTTATTTAAAAAAAAGGCAAAGTACTCCTCTCACACTATTTATAGAAAAGAGAAAGAAGATTAATTTTGTCATATTTACAAGATATTTTATTATTTTTTATATTCACCTTTATTTTTATACCTTTATTGGATAATAAATTTTTTTATTAAAAATAGCCCTTTTGTTTTTATTCGGTGATAGAAGTGAGAATTTATTAAATTTTAAAATGAAGTCAATAAGATTCAATGTTTTTTTTATTTTAGTGAAATATATTAAAAATAATTTATAAATAGAATCATGGAAAATATGCTGATGGATACATGAGTGAAATGAGAAATCCTAACTCAAAAACTAATTTTTAAAGTAAGAGAATTAATTTATTTAAATATTTTATTGAATATCTCATATTATTCAATACGAGATTTGGCATCTTAGTTTCCACCAGTTGATCCCTGTGAAAAACCAACACCTACACTTTACACCTCATAGCACTTAACTTGGTAGTAAATGAATTGACCAATTGTTGTTAATATGATCACACTGGGATTAGAATGAACAAAAGTTATTCTTAAAGCATACAGGAGGACCAAGTTGACATGGAAAATGCACTTTTCCAACTGTTTCAAAAAAAAATTAATTGAAATGCAAACTAATTGAATGATATTGTTAAAAAAATGTGCCACAACAAA